ATTTTAACAAAATATTTTGTGATTAAGTATAAAATTTTGACATTAACCCAATTTGTCATTCAATTATTTATATAAATCAAATAGTTATACTATTTAGTAACACGACATGGTTATACCATTTATATACATTAAATTTAGTGTAATGGTAAACTCTTTTGTGTGATGATAAACCCAATTATTTATCTGGACGAGATTATTTATATGGATGCACCACCAGACTTTCGTGGTGAACGAGAGTATGCTGGAAAGTATGTCGACTGCGTAAGTCTCTTTATGGACTGAAACAGTCGCCACGAGCCTGGTTCTCTTACTTCAGTGATGTAGTCGTACGATTGGGGTTCACCAGGTGTCATTCTGATCATACCTGCTTTATTCGACGGAATACTTCTAGACAATGTGTCATCTTTCTGGTATATGCTGATGATATTATTATTACTGGTGATGATGTTTCTGGGACTGCGCAGGTCAAGATAGACCTTGGGAAGGCCTTCGATGTGAAGGACTTTGAATTTTGCAATACTTTCTTGGGATTGAGGTTGCCCGTAGAAGCAGGGGGTTGTTCTTTCTCAGAGAAAGTATGTTTTGGATCTTGTTTCAGACACTGGGATGTTGGGGTGCAAACCGGCATCATCACCCATGATTCCAAACCTGAAGCTTACTGCTGAAGGTGAGGAGTTGAAAGATCCGATAGTTTATCAAAGATCGGTAGGTAGACTTATCTACTTAGTCAATACTAGGCCGGACATTTCATTCGCAGTCAGCCGAGTTAGTCAGTTCATGCATAGGCATGTCAGCCTCATCTTGATGCAGTTTATATATTTTTCGGTACCTCAAGTCTTGTCCTGGACTTGGGTTATTTTATGCATCAGGATCTCAGACCGGTTCTCTAGCCTGTTATTCAGATTCAGATTATGGGAGAGCATGTGATGGTCGATCTACTACGGGTTTATGTGTTTTTCAAGGGATTTATCTTATCTCTTGAAAGAGCAAGAAGCAGGTAGTTGTCTCCCGCTCGTCCGCAGAGGCAGAGTATCGGGCATTGACATTTGGCACGTGTGAGATTATCTGGCTACGATCGATTCTTGGCGAGTTGGGTTTTTCAGTGATCTCTCCATCTATATTATATTGTGATAATCAATCTGCTATTCAACTCGCTTCTGACTCTGTACTACATGAGAGAATGAAGCATATAGAGATCGATGTTCACTTTCTTCAAGAGAAGGTCAGCAGTGGTCTTGTTACTCTATCGTTTGTGGGGACCAGTGATCAAGTTGCGGATATTTTTACCAAACCTGTCACTCTGTCTATTTTTTGGAATTCCGTTGTCAAGCTTGACTTAGTTGACATTATTGCGCCTAGCTTGAGGGGGAGTGTTGGAGTATAGATAGTCTAGTTTATTAGGATTTTTTTTCCCTTTTTTACCCTTATTATGATTTTTATATTTTGCCTAAACTACAAGGATGTTTAAGTCACTCTGTATTATTTTTGGATATATGTACAGGGCTCTACTCTTAATTTGAGTATCCCTTTTTGACTCACATATTTCTCTAGTGTTTCAACAGCAATCGCGTCAATCAAGTTTTTTCAAACTTTTAATTTTTTCCCATTTCAAAGCATTGATATATGAATTTCAGTTTTACTAATGTGAATTTCGGTCTCACTAGACTCTTATTAGAGTAATGTTATATAGACTTGAAAATTTAATTTGATGATGTCAATGACAGAGTCAGAAAAATGTTCTAGGGTACGCTACGTATGAACTTACAGTAATGTTTGTATGTATTTGGTCTTCTGGGGCTAAAGCTAAAGGGGGAGATTATAGTTTACAATGCAATACTGTATCCAAACCAACGAAAGGTACACATGCAATTTTATTTAAATTTTTCTAAAAAAAAAAAAAACCGAAACTAATAAACAATGGAGCACGAATAATTCGTTGAGGTGACGTACCTGTATCGGATACGATACTCGTCGGATATACCTTCTACGTATCCGACAATAATTAAATATTAGGATATATTTGTAGTCGAGCAACATATATAAATTTTTAATTGAATTATTAATATTTCTTTTCGAATTCACATACTATACAATACATTAACAAAAAGTACATATTTCTTCAAAGACACATGAATATTTTTTAGGTATTATCTACAATTACATATCAAAAGAGCATAAAATAAAGGTATTACATTATAATCTTAGGCAAAATTACTTCTAAATACTAGGTAAATATTAGTTTTAATTCCTTTAATTAATCACTTCATTTTTGTGAATATATCACAGCGACACGATATATATTTTCTTGAAACTAAAAAAAATTACTAATTTTCCTTATTATATGTTAAAGAACTATTAAAATATATAAGTATTAAGTTGGTTGAAAATTATAAAAATATTAAAAATATTTTATTATAACCGTATCTTGGCTATACCCGTATCCTATTTTTTTAGACTTTATTGTATCGTATCGTATTGTATTGTATCTGTATTTCATATCCATATCTGTATCTATATCCATGCTTTATAGCTAATAAGTAATAACGATCCTATTTTTAAATTTTTATTTAAATTATGTAACATTGATTGAAAAAATGGAAAACATTACATTTCCCTCTCATTGAGTTTGTTTGGGTAGTGGGTTATGGTAGATTAAGTCCCATAAGGATAGCTTGATAATGAAGTGGGTCCCATATATCTGGTGTTTGGCAACTGAAAAATGAGGGCGGATATAAATCCCGGGTCAAACCTTGACCCGGATGCTACAGTACTTTTTATCCAAGGTACATGGGTGAAATGTAACCCACCAGATTAACTAGGTAAAAAGACGTGCTTACCCCTCATTCTTAGATATTTTCCTACACTTTATCGCGAGACCCTTCACTTTCGTCCAAGGAGCTCAGCTCCAAGCACTGGTTGGTGAAGACGTTCATCACAGGCGATCGTCGACTCATGCGAGGTAAGCTTCTTCTTTTTTGTCTCTCTTTTTCTCTGTCCCCCTAAGCTTCTCTCTCTCCGTAGCGAATGCGAACAAATCTGGTTCGCTGAGATACACCCAAATCTGGCTTCGTTCATCTTTGGCCGAAGCTATACAAATGGACGAAGCTTCTCTCTCTCTCATCGTCCTTTTTGCCCTCAAAACACTGAACCCACACCTTTCTCTTTCTCCGTAAACCAATTGAAGAATTTCGGAGATGCAGCAAATTGCCATGAGCTCTTCTTAGATTTAAAAAAAGATATCCTACCCTATCCAATCCCATTACCCAAACACATCCATTATCCCCGCATAGTAATGTGGGCCCTTCCGTTCATTCTCTCTATATACCATCCAAATTTATCCACATCTGACAATCCAGCTCTTAAGATGTTTTTTAAAAAAGTAATGCTAGATGGACTTAAAAAGTAGATTTAAAAATTAGACTTGATAATCTCAACCATTGAATAGATAATGGATCCTAATAAATGTTGGGACCTACAGTGAAATCAATGGTTGAGATTATCAAGTCTAATTTTTAAGTCCATGTAGCATTGCTCTTTTTAAAATAAATATTGACAAAATTTGTGTATGCTTCCCTTTCCCTTTTCCCTTTTAAATACTTGTGTCTTTAGCCTTGATCACCTCCACTTTCTCAGTTCTCACAGAAAGAACATGTCTTCTCACTCCATGACCACCTTCCTCCTTGGATACTCTCGAACCTTCGGAGGTTCTGTTTCATGTTCTCCAACTCATAAGCCCTCCAAACTTTTCGCAGGTACACTTCGAGTCATTCTCTCTCTATTACTATGATTTGCAGGTACCGAAACATCGGAGACCTTTCTCTCTCTCTCTCTCTCTGCTTACAGCTTCTGGAGAAGAAAAATCAAGTGATTATGCTTTTTATTTTAAAGGAAATAGGAAGTCTCGTAAAATTTGTGCAAGAAGATTTACTTTTGAGAGGATTATTTCAAGACTATTAACCATAGTTACTAATGATTAATTTTTCAAGCCTCTTTGTGCAATGTGAATTTTTTCTAGTTACATTTTACCTCCGACAAATTCCTTACTCCACCCTTGATTACGGTAATGGTAAGTAGCACAGGTAACAGTCGAATGGGTCAACTCAGATCGATTTCAGTCTGTCATTACCTTAAAAACCGAGAGAATAGAACTGCCTACTGGCTGATTTTTTGGATATGTTTGCTGGATTTTTCCTCTCATATCAAGACTTTAAACTCCATCTATTCTTCTTTGCCTCAAATCGTCATAGCCGTCTCGGATCTACACTTACTCAGATCTATGCTATCCATTAGATATAAAATAAGAGATAAACATAATAATAATTAAAATGCTGTCACCTCTTTATAAACTAAAGTTTATAGATGGTTTAACATAATATCATAATAGAAACTCCTACGTACAAATTTTGAATCCAACATGACAGACAATAAGATATGCACATGCTTGGCCTAAGCTCTTGCCCGCAAGCAAAGGAACATGCTAAACTATGTCAACACTCACATTAAATTCTAACTATTAGCAATTTAGCTTTGAGCTCACTATAACAAAAAAATATTTTTTGCAACAATTTTTTTCATTGCAAAATTAAAAAAATTGTCGCCATTTACTTCTCGGGAATGTATATATATGGATTTTTTGACCGAAATAAAGTTACGTTGAGGAGAATTTATGAATAATTCAAAATGAAGTGGAAATACGTGTAAATTAAGTACTATTGCCAAGTAGGTAAGAATAGGATGGACCGAAAAATAGAAAAGAATCTCCGAACCGGAAATCAAGAGGAGATCAAATGGGATTCCCAACTTGAGCTTTTTGGGTGTGTGCCACGTGGAGTTTGGCGGGTTGTTGAAATTTGAAGTTCACGTGGCGCTGAAAAATAGTTTCATATCAAACAGCTAAGCAGCAATCAACTTGCTGAAGGCGACGTGTCCGGTTTCTGTTGGAAAGTAATTTACGTCATACGGCTGCCGTAAAAGAGAAAGATACGTGCATGCAACTTGTTTTTGGAAAATGCTATTCATATCAAAATTTTTACAAAAAAATAGTTTGACTAAAATGAGTTGACGGATCAATTTTGGAGTCACTAAATACTGATCAAAATATTTTTAATCATATATAAAATTACCAACTCTTTTCGTAAAAATATTTTTTAGTAAACATAACATTATTTCTTGATTTTTCCTTTTTCACTAAAATGCTCAACATGATTAGAGCAACTCTAACTCACCTCAATTAAAAAGATTTTGCTTTGAGCTTGTACTTTAATGCTTACAATGCTTTCTTTTTCGGCAAAAGGAGTGAAAATTAGCAGACCATCTCACAAGGATTTGAAACTAGTCCCATCTAATGATGTCTCATAATTATTACCATGCTGAAGACTATACTTCGTACTAGATTGATTTCTACGTTATTCTTCGTAGTATCTCATATTAAATGTGGTTATAGATCAAGTTTTTTTTAGATATTGTTGATTTTTGTAGGTTTTTGGTCTTCTGGAGCTGAAGCTAAATGGTTAGAATACAGTATTCGACTGCAACGTTGTAATGTATTCAAACAAACAGAGGGTACACACAATTTACTTAAATTTCACATAAATAATTACGCTTGTGTATCTGCAAAGATTAATATTATTTGAACCTATTTTAGTGACTTAATTCTCTTACCCAACTCATTGCAATTGTTGGGTTAGTAACAAGCCCCGGTGTTTAATGGAGTCTATTATTAATTTAATAACTATAATTGATAACGTGCAAATAGTATTACTCACCTACAAAATCCAAGCTTAATGACAGTTAGTCCTTTGTATGTGCAGAATACACGACTGTGTTTCTGAATGGGTTTGTGGGGGCTGACACAGAAGAAGAAACTCTTAAGGTGGTTAGAACAGATTACTCTTTTTTGCTTCTTTTTTGATGATTGCATGAATTTTAGTGTAATTAAATTTATAGGACTTGCTCTGTTAAAAGGTTTCTACATCAAATAAGATTAAGGAACATGTTGATAAGATTCAATCAATGTTGGTTTCCATGGGTGAGGGAGAGATAAGCATATCAGCTTATGACACTGCTTGGGTGGCTCTCGTGGAAGACATTAATGGAGGCGGTGTTCCTCAATTCCCAAATAGCCTTCAATGGATAGCAAATAATCAGCTTCCTGATGGTTCGTGGGGTGAGAGTAACATCTTTTCAGCTTACGATCGGCTAATCAGCACATTAGCTTGTGTGGTTGCATTGAAATCGTGGAACATTCATCCTAACAGAATCGAAAAAGGTGATTAATTGGGAAAGAAATATACGAATTCTAGGGGAAATTACACTTTGACTCCCTCAACTATGACATATTTCTCTGGTTAGGAAAATACAATAGTTTAAAGCGCAAAGTGAAATTGATTTCGTAATTAAGGGAGTCAAAATGCAATTTACCCTAGACTATGTTGGCAGTTCATGATTTGATGTTAATCAATAAGCTAAAATGGCTTAAATTGTGTAATTAATTATAGGATTGTCATTTATCAAAGAAAACATATGTAAGCTTGAAGATGAAAATGCGGAGGAAATGCTTGTCGGCTTTGAAGTGGGTTTTCCTTCTCTTATGGAAATAGCTCGAAAGTTGGACATTGAAGTTCCAGATGAGTCTCCTTTCTTGCAAGATATCTATGCCAAAAGAAATGTTAAGCTCTCAAGGTAACCTAGTTTCACAGCTGAATAACTTAAAATTAACTCCTTATATTTTAAGTAATTTTTAAAACAAACACTATTTTCGACCCAACACAGCTATTGGATTGGTAATCAATCTCAACCAATCACCACTGAAATTAGAGTCTTTTGAGATAAATTTTTTGTGACAACAGTATTTATTGTCATAAAAAAGTGTGTTTTAGAGGAATATTTTATTTTTTTTGGACGGTAGTTTTGTGACGATAAACACTGCCACCATAAAGTCCCAATAACATTGCTCTAGAGAGGATTGGTCAAAACATGAAGCTTTACATGTATGTCATAATTATAGGATACCCAAGGACTTTATGCACACAGGGCCATCTACACTACTTCATAGCTTGGAAGGAATGCAAGACCTGGAGTGGGAAAAGCTACTAAAATTACAGAGCCCAGATGGGTCATTCTTGTATTCCCCATCCTCCACTGCCTTTGCTCTCATGCAGACTAAAGATGAGAATTGCCTGAGATATCTCAACAAAACTGTTGAAAAATTCAATGGGGGAGGTAAAAGTTCTTTTCTTAACTTTCAGGTGAAGTTAGTGAATTTTATTACCATCTCAAATTAATAACTATGGTTGAAACTGAAACCAAATATTCTAACATGAGTGAAAACCTCAAGGTAACCTCGTGAGAGGTTACTACATGTAGTCGTATCTGATCGGAGTAGAAGTAATCTCTCTCTCTCACACACACAGAGGACAATCACCCTTTAAAGCAAATAAACAACGAAGTTACCACTGAGAAAACTATATACACATACAATATCATTAAGGTTCATATGAGTGGTTTCTGATTTTGTGTAAATCTTATTATTCAGTTCCACATGCTTACCCGGTGGACATATTTGAGCACTGTTGGGTTGTTGATCGGCTACAACGCCTTGGAATTTCCCGGTATTTCAAGTCAGAAATTGGAGAATGCATTGATTACGTCTACAGGTAATTTATCTACGACCGAGTTCATAGTATTTACATTTATATATGCACATCTATATATATGTATATATATTATCTACATCTTAACAAAATTCAAAATCTTCAGATTCTGGACAGAAGAGGGAATTGGATGGACTGGAAATACAAGTGTTCATGATTTAGATGACACGGCCATGAGTTTTAGGCTTTTAAGATGGAATGGCTACAAGGTTTCTGCTGGTTAGGTTTACTACACCATATGTAGCTTTCAAAAAATATATTAAAATTTACGAAAAGAAAAAGAAATAAAGACAAGAATGTTTTTGATCACTGTAATATTGTTATTGACAGATGCTTTTCAACATTTCGAGAGTGGTGGCGAGTTCTTCTGCTTCGCTAGAGAGTGCAACCAAGGCGTTACCGTCATGTTTAACCTTTACAGGGCTTCTCAGGTGATGTTTCCAGGAGAGAAGATACTGGAGGATGCCAAGAAATTTTCATCCAAATTCCTAAGAGAAAAACAGGCTAACAATGAGCTTCTAGACAAATGGATAATAGCCAAGGACTTACCTGGCGAGGTACATATTGTTTAATTTGAATTTGAATGAAGAATTTTATTAGCAGGTTGACAGGTTTTAATTTGGGAAAACAAAATTGCTAATTAATAATTAATATTTCGATGAATAATCTGCTTAACTTAAACTAAGGAACAATCACTAAGCATTATGAACCCATTAATGGTTGGTATTTTGAGGCACCATAGTAAAATAATCTTTTTTTTTTTCACACATACTCATCATAGGATGATGGTAGTTGGGCAAGTATGCCCGCATCCTCCAGTGGTTTAGAACATTTTTTTTCAAGGAGACAACGGAGATTTGACTTTTCCTCCGAATAAGGTATTATGAATTACAAATAAACCTAAAATGAATTCTTTTTGAGCGGTTATTGAGAACAGACTATAAATTCATTGACAATATTTCTACGTTGTTTCAAATCCAACTCGGCCCCAAGAGAGCGGCTAGTCCACATTAAGTTCCAAAATTATGTATAAATTGTATTTTGTTTCAAAAAAAATAAACAATAAAATTCACGATGAGAAAACTACACATAATTTCATTAAGGTGTAGTTTTTGACTTTGTGTAATCATATCCCACCTTTTCATAACTACCCATGCTTAACTAACCTCTTTATCAAATATTTCATTCTAAATTATGAGGTAGATTCACAACAAATAAAAGTGAAACCCATTTTTCTAATGATGTTACATCTACTACATTATTTGGGATAAAATATTTGATATATAAATTTAATAAGCATAGCTTTATTGTTTCGTACCCATCTCTACCTACCTTAATATGTAGTATTTTAAGTAATCATAACATAAAAGAAGGCAACACAGGTGGGGTATGCACTAGAGTTGCCATGGTACGCCAGCCTACCTCGTGTGGAGGCAAGGTTCTACTTGGAACAATATGGCGGTGAAGATGACATATGGATCGCCAAAAGCTTGTACAGGTACTTTTTTTTATGCATACTGGGTGCACAAACGATTCATTCAATCACCAAATTTATAAACATTAGCCTTTCTTTAGCTCTCTGTTGTCCTCATATCATTCGTTAATAACACTAAATTGTTAATTTGCCCACCTTGAACATGGAATGAAATATGTTCGATAAAATGCTGCAATGACTTGTATATCTGGACTTTTCTTGCATGGGTCTTTTGTATATCATGAAAACTTTTTTATGATCGAATTTTTAAAGCTTTTCTATGTCTTTGAAGTCCATTGAAGATTCTCTTTGTTTTGGGTATATTGTTTAGAACTGTTTAATATTTAAGACTTCTTATAGAGTACATGTTCACCACTGACTTCTCTGGTTGGGGTATGATCAATTTTCTTTTTTTCTTTTAGTTTAACAGTCAAGTGTGTCCTTAGCTCGACTAATCTTTTCCCTAATATGATCAAAGACAAGCATGACTTTGCCCAAGGGATTGTCAAGATACAAATTTAGGATGTTTGAGTTTACGGTTCATTCTTATTATCACTTGAGTTACCACTTGGAGTATATGATCAGTATCTAAACCACACCCCCACACCAAAAATAAATAAGGGATAGCTAAGTCTTTAATAAAAAGTTGTTCTTAAAGTAGCAAAAAGAGATTAAAATGCTTTCGTCTTGATATAGATGATGCTAACTTGTGTTATTAATACACTGTATATTCGCAGGATGCCTTACATTAGCAATAACACCTATCTTGAGCTTGCAAAATTGGACTACAATAACTGCCAAGCACTGCATCGTCAGGAATGGAACCGCATTCAAAAGTAAATTAATTGCAACCTCCTTTCATCATAGTCACATTTTTCAATCACCATTCTAATTTAACTGTTTCCTGCTATAAAGATGGTATGCAGAATGCAATCTTGGACAGTTTGGGCTGAGCCAAAGAAGCCTTCTCTGTGCATATTATTTGGCTGCGGCAAGTGTATTTGAACCAGAGAGTGCCAATGTGCGGCTTGCTTGGGCTAAGACCAATACTCTGATCGCGACAATCATGTCGTACTTTGACAGGGAGCACACCTCCAGGGAGCAGAGAACAGCCTTCCTCCATGATTTCAGAAACAGTAGTAATTGTAGCCGGGACGCTGTTAATAATGGAAGGTAAATAATCATCACAACAAAGTCTTGTTTTCTAGCTTTATTCTTTAAACCAATGCAGATTCTTGGTGCAGAAACAATGTGTAAATTGTGCTACAAAGTATGCAGCATATTCCCCTTGTGTTTGAATGAAACTAGTGATATACAACACTATGCGTTAAAAGTTCTTTTAACGATAGAGGAAGGATTGTTATAGATTGGATAAAATCATGATTCTTAAATGTGCTTGTGCACAGGTAGCACAATGGTATTGAAAAGCTCCTTTTTGGTGGATTGTAAAACTTCTTTGTTTTATTATTTATTCTTATTTTAATGTTTTCCACAACTACCATTTAGGATCAAAAAATTAATTTTCGATATCATGGTGTTATACCCTTCTGCAAATGTAGGAGACAATATCTCATTTTTCTTTTTACAGGAACCAGACAGGACATGAGCTGGTCCAGGCTTTGCTAGGAGCTTTACACCAGTTCACATTGGACGCACTGCTGGCGCACGGTAGAGACATCTACCACCAATTGTATCAGGCTGTGAGTAACTTTCTATGGCATGAACCAACTCCAATCTACCACTCATCTGTGCTAATTGTCATTGATTCTGATTCCAATAATGTATTTCTTTTTTGTGGCTTGCTGGTGGTTATAGTGGGTGATGTGGCTGACGAAGTGGCAAGAGGAAGGTGAAGGACAAGGAGAAGCAGAACTCCTAGTACGCACCATCAATCTCTGCGCCGGTCGTTGGGTGTCTCAAGAGAGATTGCCCCATTTTGAGTACTACTGTCTCTCAGAGATCTCCAACAGAGTCTGCCACCAACTTCGTCAATATCAGGACTGTAAGGTTTGTGCGTCTAAATATGTAGCTATTCATTGCCTGGCCTGAGACACTAAAAAACAACTCTAACTAAGATAAGACTATAGTATTGAAAAATAATCTTCAATCGTATATCTCGTGTCATGATTTGATTAGGCAAAAAATAGAGGTTTTTCATTCTCATTATTTTGTAGACGTCCGTGAAAAACATTTATAACCCACAAATTAGAAACCTTGTTTGATGAGTTTGATTAAAGCTGTATGAATGTCATGTTTACCATTTGATCAAGAAAATATTGTTTGCTCAATAAAGGCTTGTAGTGAGATTATTTCATATATCTTTCACCTTTTCGACCATTATCACTAACTCGTGTAATTTGGCCAGGCACGGGAAACAAACAACTACAACACAAACACTATCAGCATGACAACCACTGAGATAGAATCGGACATGCAAAAACTTGTGCAACTAGTGCTCTGTAACTCATCAGAAGGAGGCCTCGATCCTGATAGCAAGCAAACATTTCTTACAGTAGCAAAAACTTTCTACTATACTGCATACTGTAATCCGACAACCATCAATTTTCATATTGCCAAAATACTATTTGAGAGTGTATTTTCACTAGTGATGACATTATGATATGTGACCGGCTTGTGAGCCTCAACATTTTCTTCTACACTAAGTGCACATGTAACATGATCCTCATACCCATATCTTTGAGGCGGCTTAATCTGCATCCTTTCTCTGTCCCTAGTAAGCATGTATCCTTATTATTGTAGAGACGCATCAGAGTCTTGTTCCTCTTCTGCATCTTGCCAGATTGGAATATCATCCTACAAATCTTCTTGCAAGTTCTTTGGAGCTTCCACTTCAAACTCCACCTATTTGCTGACACTGTGGTTTTTTCTAGTATCAAGAGATTCCTTCTTCTTGGGTTCAAGCATAGTAGACTCATTAAAGGTCACATCCCTATTTACAATGCATTTGGGTTGTTTAGTATCTGTACACAACAGTCTGTAATATTTCACCCCCATCTGCATACCCTGGAAATATGCACTTCCTTGCCGTCAGCTCAAGTTTACCATTATTCACCTGAGCATAAGCAAGACAACTGAACACTCTTAAATCAGTGTAACTTGCAGGAGACCCGGACCAAACATCTTTAGGAGTGTTGTTCTTGATAGCTATCGATGGAGAACTATTAACAAGATAATAAGCTGTATTGATAGCTTCAGCCTAGAACTTCTTGGATAGACCAGCATTTGAGAGCATGCATCATTTATTTTCCAAGAGAGTTCTATTCATTCGTTCTACAACTTCGTTCTGCTGTGGTGTTTTTCTCATAGTGCAATGTCTCATGATCCCTTTTTTCTTGCAGAACTCATTGAAAGCGCTTTCATAAAATTCCATGCCATTGTCAATTCGCAAGTGCTTGATTTGTTTCCTATCTGCTTCTCGATCATAGCCTTCCATTGTTTGAACTTTTCAAAGGCATCATTCTTGCGCTTTAATATAAATATACAGACCTTCTGAGAATAGTTATCGATAAAGGTCAACACATACCTTTCACCACCAAGAGAAGGAATACCCTTGGTTCGATGTATAGCCATACTGAACTTTACTCTGCATTGCTCACAAAAGTCCAACTTTCCAATTTTCTGGCCACATAACTGTGCGTGCAGGATCCTGCACAATATAAAAAATATTGGGAACAACTCTCTCCACTGGTGAACTTTGAGTGAGCCAGTTGAGTGGCCAAACACACTGCTTGAAACAGCCTACAAGGAACGGTGGCAACCTGGAACGGCAAAGGAAGATCCTGGGAAAGGAAGAACGATCCTGTACTTGGGAAAGGTATTTCCTGGAACAAAGGAGAACAAGTTAGAAGGGCGCCGGAGTGTTTTCCGGCGTATCCCCTCCGATGGTCTAGTCAGTCTTTGAATGAGAGAGAGGAAGGAGAAAACACTGATGAGGATATTTTGTAGTAGTGAGTTTGTGATTGCATACCCGCTTTGCCTTTTGGGAGGAGTATTTATACCTTAGAAGCTCATGATTGCTGTCAGTGTGGTCAGTAGGTGATCATCAGGCACAAGTAGCGTGTGTATTGATTTGATGAGGAATGTCTTCTCTAATTGATTGCTCGGGATCCCGAGCAATCAATTATGAGCCGTCGGGACGCCGACGGTACAATATGATCCTTTCGGGAAGGATGCAATAAATGCTCTGTAATAGGAGCATTTATTGTCTTTCATATCCGAACCTTACCGCATTGAATGCGGTCTCGTCAACAGAAGGGTGCAATTAATTTGTTTGCTTTCCCAAGTCGCGTGTCAGCGACGGCATGCGTCTGTCTGCTTCTGATGTGACATTATTTGCCACGCGTCCATCCCTTATTGGCTGTGACGTCGGTATTCCAGCGTGTTCTGACATTACTTGTGCTAAGACGAGGTTATGATGAATAGTCTAGACTGGCATAGGCTGATGTCCCGTACGTCAGTAGCGTTATCCGGGAGTAGAGGAAGCGTCCAGGATAGAGTGACCCTCGGCACCGAGGAAAGACTCACCTCGGGGACCGAGGGGTGGTGTGTTTCCGAGGTATACACACGACCGAGGACACGTGTCGTTGTATTATGCACCGAATATGTGATCCTATATGAGAGGTACCTCGGGGGAGAGGACGCCTTTGCCGATGGTGCTTGAATCCGAGCAACATTGTTCTAGAAACCCCGAGGACACGTGTCTTCATCATAGGGCTTTTCAGAAGAGTCCCATCAATAACAAACCTTGTTTGCTTAGCACATCTAGTCTTCTCTCACTCATATGCCCTAATTGCGTACACCATCACTTGGTAGTGTCTAAGCTTGAATTTGAAGATGAAGTTGTGGTAGCGGCACCTATCACTATGCTGCCCTGTAACAGATATAGGCCATTTTGCTTGTGTCCTTTCATCACAGTAAGAACACCTTTAGAAATCCTCATGACTCCACCTCTAGCTTTATACGTATAGCCATTGGAGTCAAGTGTACCCAAGGAAATAAGATTTTTCCTCACATCTGGAATATGCCTAACATTAGTAAGAGTCCTCACAATACTATTAAACATCTTGATTTGTATTGTTCCTATTCCAACAACCTTACAAGCTACATTATTTCCCATTAAGACCTTACTAGCATCAATTGATTGATAGGTGACAAACTAGTTCTGATTGGGACACATATGATAAAAATAATCTGAATCAAGAATCCACTCATTACCTGAGCTACTAATTGAATATGTGAGTACATCAGCATTAATCAAATTTTTTTTGTAACACCGGCAACGTTACCAAAATTTAAGTTTTCAATCTTTCCTTTGTCTTTATGCTTTGGACAATCTTTTCTAATATGTCCTTTCTCGTGACAATGAAAACATTTAATTTTTCTAAATCATACCCTAAATTTAGATCGGCCTCTGCTATTTAAGTCTTCTCATCGAGCAACCAAAAAAAAACATGTCTTCCCATAATTCATGCAAAGAATTCATTTAAAGCTCTCACCTAATCTTGATTTTTGTGCTATCTCCATTTTAGGCCACAAAAGGCAACGACATTCTGTTCGCTTTTTCAAGAGCGTGGGTGTTCCCTCTCTCCCTCCTTTTCTTCCCTTTTTAAAACCTTGTACGTCCCTTCACCATCTTCACAGCAAACAGCCAAAAAAAAACGTCTTCCCATAATTCATGCAAAGAATTCATTTAAAGCTCTCATCTAACCTTGATTTTTGTGCTATCTCCATTTTAGGCCACAAAAGGCAAAAGGCCTTCTGTTCACTTTTTCAAGAGCATGGGTGTTCCCTCTTTCTTCCTTTTTTAAAACCTTGTACCTCCCTTCCTCACCATCTTCTCAGCAAACAACCAAAAAAAAAAAAACATGTCTTCCCATTCCACAACCATGTTCCTCCCTGGATTCTCCCGAACGAACCGAGGCTCTATGTCATGTTCTCCCGCAAATAAAACGTCAAAACTTCTTGCAGGTAAACTACGGCGGATATCAAAGCATCCCAGATTTCATTTTGAATAATACTATTTGGACCTAAAATTTGACATAATTTACTGACTTAATGATATGATTTTATTGGAATCATTAGATTACCACCAAATTCTAATGTTTGATAGAGCCCACAGTCAATTCAAATGTCATAGTAAATTAGGTTAACAAATTATGTCACTAAATTAAGTTCCAATAACATTGCTCTTTTATTTTTACTTTTTCACTTTCTTTTATTTTTTTTAATGATCAATGGTATTTTTTTTTTTTAATTTGTTGGAGTATGTAATCTCTTCTGTCATCCAGTCAAAGATAGGTCATCCACGTCAGAACTAGAGTATTCATGAGGGATAAATTTCTCGTAGCTTAGCTTCAAGAGATTATCAAAATTTAAACTCATGATGTCTTAGTTTATAGCTCGTCTAAATTACTCCTTAAAGTTTTATTTTTTCACCTTCAAAGACATTGATTCTTTCACTATATTCTATTCTTATTACAACAAATACTACGCAGACTTAAAAACCTAACTAGACAATGTGATTATTATATTTTTTATTGATTTAATTGTGGATCCACTGTTTATTCAATGACAAGGATTCATTAAGTTAATATTTTTAAGTTTATTTAGCATTTTTCTTCTTATTATTCTACCGAAAAAAACTTATGATGAAACATACTACATATGAACTTACAGTAATGTTTGTAGGGTTTTGGTCTTCTGGGGCTAAACCTAGTAAAGGGGTAGATTACAGTTTCCAACTACAATGCAATTCTGTATCCAAACCAGATGAAGGTACACATGCAATTTTATTGAAACTTTACAAAAAAAAATAAAATAATGAAACTAATGACTATCCTGTTTTTATATTTATAATCGTTAACTCTTAAAACCAAATGGCCGTATATGTGCAGAATGTGTCTCTGGGTGGGCCCGTGCAGAATGACAGAAAAGGAGAAGCTCTTAACGTGGTTAGAACACTCGACTCTTTTTGCTATTTTTCCTAACAATACTTCTCTGACCAAATTTAGGGAGGCTCTGACCAAAAAAAAAAAAAACAAGATAAAATTTAGTGGCCCAAATGATGTAGTAAAGCAACCCACCAACTAAATATTTTTGAACGCCTTTTATTATTATTATTTTTTAGTTTAATGGATATGAGTATTCGTATTAATTTATGCGTATTTTAATTAATTATTTTTTTCAAAAAAGTCAAAAATAAGTCATCTATGTTAAAATTAAGATATTCATGAGATAAATCTCTCGTGCCCTCACCCTATCTAATTGCCTCTAATTATTTGTTTAGTATAAGGTTGTCGCATTATTTGACTCACCAAATTCAGTCTTCAAAATTACTGGGTTTTGCATGTGCCTTTTGAATAAATTACACCTTTATAACACAGATACTCCCTCACATTTCAAAAACTATACTGAGACCCCTTGACATTTCAATATGTGTAACGGTCACATCAAATAAATAATAAGATAAGATGATATCATCAACAAAATTTAATATAATACCCTTTTGACATGTCATAATCTCTATTAAACAAATAAATAAATATTGAAAAGACAAGTATACACATTAGAATGAAGTTAATCTAAATAATTTTTCATAGAATATAATTAGATAATTGCTTACAATTTAATCCAAACGCCTTGCATAATTTTTCATGCAAGATTAAATTTACTACACAATTTAATTAATTGTTTACAACAATACATCTATTTACAAGTTAAATCCTCTAATTATTAATTAATTTTGATAATCAATTCTGATAACGAATTAAATTTGTAAATCCAACACTACTGCCACCACTGCAGAGGGTTTCAGAAACCACCCAGACACCAACCACCCACCAAACCAGCTCTCTCTCTCTCCCTCTCTCTCTTAGACTACCTCTGTCCTTCAATGGCATAACAACCCAATACCCAGCCCCTTAGCCAAACGTACACCACCCCTCACAAAAATCAGATTCCACAGCCAACCTTTATAGCAAAACTCATAGCTTCCCCTCAACTAGGGCTTAAGGTGTTCCCCCTATCATACGGGTAGAAAATATAGTCCTCTATTTTCATACTCGAAATTTTGCGAAATTTTGTTTTTCTTAGCTTACTCTACCCGATCAAGTGTGATATTTTTACCCGACTTCTGGCCAAATTAATCAGGTAGAAAATCAGGTGAACACTTTTATAGTTATTAATTCTTGAATCATTTTAACAATTCAATTAAATAACATGCACTAATTTAATAACACAATAAACCAATAACATTAAAATTTAAAAAAATTACAATAAAATACAAGAAAATATAAATATCAATCCATCATAATTGTTGCACAGATAAAATAACAATTATTTTAAGTTTAAACCATATAGTTAGGGAATTAGGGTTTTAGTTTATATATATATAAATTAATGCTGATAGGGTAGGATAGAAATATAAAAATTAATAGCTATTCCGTATTCCTACTCGATTTTTTCGGCTAACTATTCAATTGGATCGAGTAGGGTAGAAAATTGCGACTAATCAAAAATTTGAACACCCCACCATCTCCTAGCCCCTGCCTACATTCATTTCATCTCCTCTTCTACGTAGTTTAACAAAGTCACAACCTTTCCAACTTGTGCAACTCTATATGCAAAACCCACAAAGAAGAATGAATCAAACACTTAACTCACCACTAACCCTAGATCTGAAAACTCCAAGTCTTCAATCATTGCTCAAGCAAGGAATTAGATCTAGGATATGATCATAGATCTGTTGTGTGTAGGTGGTGATTTAATTTCAGATCTACAATAAAATCTAATGTGCAAAATCAAATCTGCGATGGGTTTCAGATTCGGAGAGGTGGTGGTATCGATTCTGGGTGGGTCTCTTTGGCATCGGAGGTGTTGCTTGTTGGATTTGCTACTGCGTTTGAATTTTTAGCGGTGTTGGTAGTGGATATTGGTAACAGTGGGGAAGAGCGGGGTGATGGGGGGTTGGTGCTGCATGACTAGGTGTTGGGGGTTCTCATAGAGAGAGAGAGACTTGGGTAATGGTTTTGATTTTTTAATTTTTAATTAATTAAATGTAGGGTAAAATAGTCTTAATATTGTTAACGACGTTTATCTATTGGGGTTTCAGTGTAGTTTTTGAAATGTGAGGGGATATCCACGTAATAAAGTCAAATGCCATGATGTCCGAGTATAATTTACCCTTACCTTTTCTTTATGACCGAAGGAATTATAGTCTTACTTTTCGAGACTGAATTATTATTAAAATAATAGAATAAATCAGGTTAAAAAATAACAGATTTGAGATGTATCAAAGGCAAACAGGGAGAGAGCCATGTGATACTTCCTTCTCAGATACCACGTTAAACAACTATGTTGTTACAAAAGTTAAATTATTAAAAATGATGTAATTTAAATCTATATAATAAAAAATGAGTGTGTTTGAATTTTATTCCAGTCATATTTTATCCCTCAAAATTATCATCAATCACTTATATCACCCATCATTTCTTTGTCAGACTCAAACGTCAAATCGCATTACTTATTTCTATTATATGTTTAATCATTTATATATTTATTCCCTAAAAATATTGTATCACACATTTTTATCATCTATTTAATTATTTAATATTTGATTAATTTGTAGTTAATATATTTTAAAAAAAATTAATATAATGGGATCGATTTTTTGGACACTTAAATTTTATATTTTATCGTATCTTCAGGCACGGGTTATGACTAGTACTTATATATTTTAACATTGTGATTTGATGTGATTTACCTTATCCAAAGGTGTGTATGTCAAATAAGATTAAAGAACACGTTGAATCCATCCGATCAATGTTGGGTTCCATGGATGATGGAGAGATAAGCATATCGGCTTATGACACAGCATGGGTTGGTCTTGTTGAAGATATTAATGGAAGTGGTGTTCCTCAATTCCCGAGCACCCTTCAATGGATTGCAAATAATCAGCTTCCCGATAATCACCCTTCAATGACCTTTTCAGCTTACGATCGGATTATCAGCACATTAGCTTGTGTAGTTGCATTGAAGAAGTGGAAAATTCATCCTCAGCAATCAGAAAAGGGTGAGCTTTTTTTACTATGTTTTTTTAATATAAAGAACAACTTTGTCAAATAAAATATGTTTGATTGCGAATTTACAAAGTGATCTAGATTCATTTTTTGCATACAAATCCTATACTTATATGCGGATATTGTCATTAAAGGATTGTCATTTCTTAAAGAAAACATATGTAAGCTTGAAGTTGAAAAGGCTAAGCACATGCCAATCGGGTTTGAAGTGGCATTCCCTTCGCTTATCGATATAGCTCGAAACTTCGGCATAAGAGTTCCAGATGATTCTCCGGTCTTTCGAGAAATCTATGCCAGGAGAAATCTCAAGCTCACAAGGTAGTTTCATAGATCAAACTACAGTCATTATATATTATGTTAGTGCTTCTAGGAATATTCATAAACAAGCTGGTAACTCGTCCATTTGTCAAGTTAATGCTTTTGCTTCAAGATAAATATACTTATGTTACACTTTTCTTTAAGAACTTATGCTTTTAAAGTAGATGATTGTTGAATTTGTACAAGAAAAATTTTTACATCTAGGTTATAATTAATTATGTGTGTACGATAGGATACCGAAGGAGATATTGCACGCCGTGCCCACGACACTACTTTATAGCTTGGAAGGAATGCCAAATTTGGAATGGGAAAAGCTGCTACGATTACAGTGCCTAGATGGGTCCTTCTTGTTTTCTCCAGCCTCCACTGCTACTGCACTCATGGAGACTAAAGATGATAAGTGCCTGAGATATATAAGCAAAGCTGTTGAAAAATTCAATGGGGGAGGTAACCTCTTTTTTTTTTTAGTCCTTCCATAAGTAGCAGGTTACTTCCACTTTTTGATGTTGTTTATGGTTTCTAATATTGTATAACTATAATTATTCAGTTCCAGGTGTTTATCCGGTAGACTTATTTGAGCACAATTGAGCCGTTGATAGGCTACAACGCCTTGGAATTTCCCGGTATTTTCGTCAGAAATTAGAGAATGTATGAATTATGTCTATAGGTAATACGAATTATCAACCTAAACCATATATTTTTCATTACAAAGCGGTATGACATACACAATATTATCCTAACAGAAGTCCAAAAACTTCAGTGGCGAGTTCTGCTGGTACATTGGACAATCCAACCAGGCTGTTAGTGGGATGTTTAACCTTTTTAGGGCCTCCCAGTTGTTATTTCCAGGAAAGAAGATACTCGAGGATGCCAAGAACTTTTCATCCCAATTCCTAAGGGAAAAACAGGCTAATGATGAGCTGATAGATAAGTGGATTATAACTAAGGACTTACCTGGCGAGGTACATAGAATCGTTGCTGTTTTTTTTTGAATGTATAATTTTGTTAGCGATGACTTTTGAATGCGTACAGACCAGTCACTAGTAGAATGCTTTTAATCTATCATCATTACAACTGGTCTGAACTGTTGGCCTAATATTAGGCTTGAAGCTTAATTAATTAAAGAAACAAGCAAGGTCTGAACTGTTGGCCTTATATTAGGCTTGAACCTTGATTAATTAAAGTAATAAACAAAGAATACATAAGAATGAGAAGTTCTGCAACTAGATTTTTCATTCCATATCTTTTAGAAAAGTCTCTTACAAACTTTATATAAACACTCTATATATTTTAGAAAAATTTCTAACAAGCTTTATCTAGACACACCTAAATAGAGACACTTCATATATTCTAGAAAACACACCTAAATAATTCTAGAGTTTTCTATCTTTGAGCCTAATTAAATACAACAAAACATGACCCAAACTCACACTAACATTTTATGACCCAATTTAAAACATAATATTTTTTCGCCCAAATACAAAAAAACAACAAATTAGTAATTTTAACACTCCTCCTTAATGTTTTGTTGAGTGGCACCCAACATTTTTTGAAAGTATTGAAACTTATCCTTCGAAAGTGCTTTGGTGAAGATGTCCACAACTTGATCTTCCATCTTGCAATACTCGAATTGAATCTCATCATCCTCCACAGCCTCCCGGATAAAGTGGTGTTTGATTGCAATGTGCTTGATTCGGCTATGGTAGACGGAATTCTTTGTCATTGCTATCGCAGACTTGTTATCACACAAAAGTGGAGTAGGCTCTCCTTGCTTCTCACCAACATCTTTCAAAATTCTCCTTTAACTATATTGCCTTGTGATGTCACCAATGATGCCGAAACATATTCGGCCTCGGCGAATGATTATGCTATCATTTATTGCTTCTTAGATGTCCATGAAAAGACACCCGAGCCAAGAAAAAATACATAATCGGAAGTGATCTTCATATTATCCACACATTCGGCCCAATCATTATCGCAAAATCCATTCAACTTTGCATCCACATTTTTCTCAAACAAAATCCCATAATCAAGGTACCTTGGATGTATCTTAAAACTCTTTTTACTGATCTAAAATGAGTTTGACTTGGATTATGCATAAACCAAGATAATAAACTTGTAGCAAACATCATGTCTGGCCGTGTAGCCGTCAAATATAACAAACTTCTAACCAAACTTCTATAAAGAGAAGCATCAACAACTTTATTTCTATCTTCCTTTGTCAACAATAGGGTTATAATCCACCGTCTTTTTTCCCCAATTCTTTCATTAGCCATATTGTTCCCATGTATTTTTATTTGGTTCACAACTTCCATCAATTTAGAAAAATAATCTTGCCACACTTCAGCATCTTTCATTTTCATATTTTTAAAATCTCTTCTCAAAGATTAAAATTTAATTGCTCATACATTCAAGTTGTCCCGATACTTCTTTTGAAGAATATCTCAAGCATCTTTTTCCTTAGTCTCGTTGATGATCCTCGGAAAAATCTTATCCGAAACTTATTGTTGAATCATTGAGAAAGCTCTTGCTTTCTTCCTCTTATGTGTTTTCAATATTTGCTTTTAAGTATCCATCAAAGAATCTACATCTTCGGAGTCATCATACTCATCTTCAACATACTCCCACAAATTATTTGAAATAAGTTGGGTTTTCATTTTCACACACAAAAATCATAATTCTCATTGTCAAATTGTAAAAATGGAGGTAGTTGAGCTCCAAAATTTTGATTACTTGAACCCGCCATATTTTTCAGCATCGAGATTTGTTTTTCCGAACCAAATCTTCACGCCCAATTGTTGTCATTGAACCGAGCTTAGATACCACTATGTTGGCCTTATATTAGGTTGAACCCTAATTAATTAAAGAAATAAACAAGAGACCAACAAGGAATACATGAAAAATTTTAGAACTAGATTTTTCATTTCATATCTTCTGAAAAAGTCTCTTACAAACTTTATATAAACACTTCATATATTTTAGAAAAATCTGTAACACAAGCTTTATCTAGACACTCCTACATAAAGACACTCCTACAAGATTTATCTAGACACACCAATATAATTCTAGAGTTATCTATCTTTGGGCCTAATTAAATACAACAAAACATGATCCAAACTCACTAACATTTTTTGACCTAATTACAAACATAATATTTTTTATCCCAAATACGAAATATTAACTTTAACATGAATAGTGAACATTATTTAGAAGCTGCCAATTGAACAGGTGGAGTATGCACTAGACGTTCCATGGTACGCCAGCTTACTTCGTCTGGAGACAAGGTTCTACTTAGAACAATATGGCGGTAAAGACGACGTATGGATCGGCAAAACCTTGTACAGGTACTTTATATAATTCTCTCTCTCTTGTTTTTTTTGTGGGTAAGTCACCCTCTCTTGTTCTTACTTGATCTTTTATTGCAACTCCGCTGGTTAATTTCCATGTAATTCCAGGATATTCTAGAATATTACATCGAAATTTATGTTTACTTTGGGGACCAAATAGACGCTAAATGCATACTTGGGGGGCCAAAAGTGAATTGTACTCAATTTTTTAGAGCTTTTCTATGTATTTGACGTCTGTGCATATTTTCTACTTATGCTGGGTATATTTTTAAAACAGTTGAACATCTAGGCTTGCTGGTCTAGTGGTAGCCCTACGAACAAGTAAACCTAATCACCACTCCCATCCAACCCCCGGAGCGGGGAGGCCAAGGAGGGCGAAGTTGTTCTTGGAGTGACCGAACAGAATTGAATGTGTTTTCCTCTCGACATACATACTAATATGTGCTGTTTATCCACCGTATACCCTCAAGGATGCACTACGTCAACAATAACATCTATCTTGAGCTTGCAAAATTGGACTACAATAAGTGCCAAGCCCTGCATCATCTGGAATGGAACAACATTCGAAAGTAAGTTGCCGAATTTCCTTCTTAGTCACATACACTCTATATCCATTATAATCGGATTGTTTTGTGCTATCCTGTACAGATGGTATGGAGATTCCAATCTTGGACAGTTTGGGATAAGCCAAAGAAGTCTTCTCTTTGCATATTTTTTGGCCACGGCAAGTGTATTTGAACCAGAAGGCGCCAATGTGCGGCTTGCTTGGGCTAAGACCAATACTATGATTGCTCCAATCAAGTCATACTTGGACAGGGAGCGCACCTCCAAGGAGCAGAGGATAGCCTTCTTTCATGATTTTAGAAACAGTAGTAGTAGCCTGGGCTATGTACATAATAGAAGGTAACATTTATCTTAACAAAACGTTGTTTACTAGTTTAATCTGTAAATAATCAGTGCAGATTCTCACTAGCCAATTTGAATATAATTTTTCTTTCAGTATCGTTCTCTCCACATCAGCTCGGAAAGGTTGTTCATCAATTCACTGAATATATCACATCAACTGCACTATTTCTTTTTGTCTACATTAAAGATTCTACCAATGAGAATAACTCAATTACGTTCTATAAATGGAGCACTAAATTATGCAGCATTTTTACATGTGTTTGAGTAAACTAGAGATTGATCTTCCAAGTGCTTACATTTTAACATGTCATTCATTTCCTAAGTGCTAACATTACTCCAACTTGATTGATCTTCTCAAAAGATAAGTAATGTACCTGTGCACTTGTACAAGGGAATATTTGATTTCATTTTAATTTTAATTTCTCAGAAACCAAACAGGGATTGGCTCGTCCAGACTCTGCTAGCAACTTTACACCAGTTCTCATTGGACGCACTGATGGCTCACGGGAGAGACATTCACCACCAATTGCTACAGGCTGAGTGCTTCTCTTTGACATGAATCAGCTCTAGTCTACCACCCATTTGTACTAATTGCCATTATTCTGATTCCAATGTGTTTCTTCTTTTCCCTTACTGGTTGGTATAGTGGGAAATGTGGTTGATGAAGTGGCAAGACGAAGGTGTAGAACAAGGAGAAGCAGAACTCCTTGTGAGCACCATAAATCTCTGCGCCGGCCATAGGGTCTCAGAAGAGATATTGTCCCATGCTGAGTACCAGTGTCTCTCTGAGATCACCAACAAAGTATGCTACCAACTCCGTGAATATCAAGACAGAAAGGTTGGTGATCTCATCTTTTGCATTTCGCTGCATGCACCAAAAGGTTACAATTATCTTCCGCGGACACTGTTGTGTGGAACCTAGCCAAATTCTTAAGGGCTCATGACTCGCAATAACTTGAGACTTCCCTTCGAATGTTAGTGATATGATGAAGTCTGTTGTGATCGTTAGATTGTGTTAGGCCAAACTTCACTCTTGAAAGTTTGGGCCAACTTTAGACAATTTGAACTCGAGATACCTAATAGTTTCTAGAGCCTGTTTTCTAAATAAAAGGGCCAGTCATGCCAAAATCCAACAGAATATAATCAATTCCAACCATGCAGTTTCCCTTTAATTCTCATTACTTTCCCCAATTTATTGGAAAGTCTCTAATTTTTAATTTACAACCATTTTAATCTGTCTAGTATGATTGGATACAAATTATAAACAGCTGCAACCCGAACACTAGTAGCATGACAACCATCCAAATAGAATCGGGCATGCAAAAATTGGTGCAACTAGTGCTCTGCAACTCATCAGACACTGGCCTCGATCCTGATATCAAGCAAACATTTCTTACAATAGCAAAGACTTTCTACTATGCTGCATTTTTTAATCCGACAACCATCAATTTTCACATTTCCAAAATACTGTTTGAGAGAGTACTTTGATTCTTGTAATACTCTTGTCATGTTGGCATAATGTTTTTAGCATTTAAAGTAAACTTGATTTTGATAACATTTTTTATGCCCAATGGATAGTGTTATTGATGGTACACAGCCATTAGAGATTTAGTTTAGTATCTTCAGTTAGCTTCAGCTTGAATCGAGTCTCTCTCTTGGCTCAAGCTCAGTTGTTGAACCAACAGCTCTTGCCACTAAACAGGTTTTTCAAACATTTGGAGGACTTACCATCGTTGGAAGAATTGGCAAGATCGGATATGACTTACCACCTTTTGCTTTGATATTGTGTATTGTGTGTCTTACTTTAAACTACACTGGCCGGACCTAGTGATTAAGCCCATGAAATCCGGTTGCCGGGAGCTTCGGCAACATGAGAATAGTCATACCTGCGAGCCAAAAAAGTCATGTAAAATGGCATATGGAACTGCACTTTTCTTCCAGCTGTTTTTCGCCGTCTGAATCCCATTGGTGGATTTCTTTCGTAAGTTTGGGCTGTTATGATAACACTCCATCAGAGTTCCACAAAACTTCTGTTGTTTTAAAAAAAAAAATTCATTTTTCTCTTCTTACAATATGAAAAATAGTTCTAAAACCCATCATTTTTGTACCATTTAAGTATATACTTGTAATGAACCTAACCTTTGATCCAAAAGTCATAGAATTTGTGAAGAATTAAGGCTTATAACTATTTGAACGGAACATTCTATCACGTTTAAAATTAAAATTCACACCAACTTACTCTATCAACATTAGGCCAACAATAATCCTTTTTTTTTTGGTAGTTTCACTCATCTACCAACTCGTATAAATATTAGTCTTTCATTATGTAGTGCCTACTCTGATACTAAATATTATAAATTCAACTATTGCTCTAAAAACTACATAATTTATTGGAGTTAAAAATCATAACACGTATAAATACATTATACAAAACTTAGTTCTATGAGATAATCCAAATTTATTGATGTGAATCGGAGAAGATCGTCGCATCAAAATCTTTGAATCGTCGTCATCTTCCTCTCTCCCTCTCCCCGATTGTCTCTCCGTGGGTCGATTGTGTAGGGCCAATCTGGAAAAAGAAACCCTAAAAGCGTGTGAACAGAATTGACCCGATCGGTCCACGTGACCCGTCCTTTTTTGGACCGACTCTTTTGGCCCGGTTATAAATCCGGTTTGTAAGTCGTGGGTGTGGAACCAGGTTATGAATTGACCAAACTACCCCCACCGTGATTTTCAATTCGACAATATTATCTTCATCTTCTTCAATATTGAGCCTATAAATTGGACAGCAAGACCCGACCAGAGAAACCCTAGAACGGATCAATTATCAATGGACATCCTGAAACAAGAGTTGCTGAAGAAGCGACAGAGCCTAGCCGAAGAGGTGGGTGGCAAGAAGTTCTTCAAGCGCTCTGAGATCGAACAGAAACGCCTCCAAAGGCTCCGAGAAGAAGAAAAGCGCGAGGCAGAGGCCAAAGCCCTCCGTCAAAAACAACAAAGCCATCAAAACGGCTCCACCCCTAATTCTTCCTCAGATCCTAACTCCAAACCTGAAATCCTGAAATCTAAGCCCGAATCCTCCAATTTTTCTTCCAAACCCCTCACCGCCGAACAAAAAATCGACGAACTCAACCTCCCCAAACAAGAAGTCATCCGTCGCCTCCGATTTCTCAAACAACCGGTCACATTATTCGGCGAAGACGACGAAGCGAGACTCGATCGGTTGAAATATGTGTTAAAAGCGGGATTGTTTGAATTGGATGATAGTGATATGACTGAAGGGCAGACAAACGATTTCTTACGGGATATAGTAGAATTGAAGAAGAGGCAGAAGACGGGGATTTTGAGTGATAGGAAGAGGAAGACGACGGAAGATGGAGAGGATAAGGATGGAGGGGGAGGGGATGAGGATTTGAGTGGGGATGGGGCATCGTCAGGGGTGGATCATGACAAGGATTTGAAACGTATGAAGGCGAATTTTGAGGATTTGTGTGATGAGGATAAGATTTTAGTGTTTTTTAAGAAGTTGTTGACTGAGTGGAATCAAGAGCTGGATGAGATGACCGATGCGGAGAAGAGGACGGCCAAAGGGAAGTCCATGGTTGCGACGTTTAAACAGTGCGCACGGTACTTGAATCCGCTTTTCAAGTTCTGCAGGAAGAAGGTGAGTGCTGTAGTTTGATTAGTTTCATTGCTTTCTTTTTTTGTTATATTGTGTTTTCTTTTTTCCCCCAGTTTTGAGTACATGAATCTTGCATGAAGTGAAGAAATAGTGCTGTGAATTTGTTCAGGATTTCGGCTTTTTGTTTTGGTTTTAGTGAATTATGCTTATATAATTTGATTTTGAACATTTTTTTCATGGTTATCTAGAACCTATTGCTTCTCTCTTGATCATAATATGGTGCTGCTTGCCTTTGCTGATCCCTAGAAAATTTTGATTGCATTGATCAGAAGTAAATTGTTATCAAAATTTGCTGAGATCTTTATAATGAAAGAAAAAATTGAACAATATCCCCGGGGCCATGTCTCATATTGGACTGTCAATTGTTAGCTCGTCGAGAAGTGTAATGAGAAAATTTGGATTTCTATTGTCCTTCGTTTAAAGCAAGTTTCTTGTGCGATCTGTACTGCATGGGTAGTCCAGGACTCCAGGCTTGATGTCTAAAAATTAAGTAAAAGTCCTGTTAGATTTTTTCTTAGGTGGCATCTGAACTCCATCTGAGAGGTGGAGATATTTACAGAGGATCCTTAGAAGCACTTCCTCTTTAGATCTAATTGTCACTAGAAGCTACGGAAAATTGGCTTCTGCGACTCTGCAAGTTCTTTTCCATGCATACACCTTTTTGGTTTCTCTTTTCCATGGATAAACCAAGCGAGTTGTTCCGCTGGAGATGGGTAGGAATGCATTCAGTGTCCCTCCAATGGAAAAGTTGGTTTGGATTAGGGATAATCATAATGAGTTGTTGGGATATTCGCGGTCAACTTTGGGATATTACGCAGTCAGTTGATGGCACCAGAACCTTTCCTTAGAACTTTCATTATGATTTACTGAATTTTTATTTTGCTAAATTTTCTCCTAAAGGAAGCCACAATAATCTGTTTGCAGTTAGAAGCATGTGGTCAAATTATCAATTTTTAGGTGCAAAATGTCTCAAAGATGTAACTGTAAAACTTGTGACAGTGAACATGTTCTAGACCTACAGCTGAAAGTCGTGCATAAGTGAAAGTTGGTGGATAACGCTGTTAGGCCATTGCAATTGTTGTAGAGAAATAATCCTTTCTTGGGTAGACAAACTAATCATAGATGGCATATGGAGGTCTTTTAGCCATAGCTTTTGGAAGAAGGCTTTGGAGCAATCAAAGTCAATTGACTATTTATGTGTTCAAGCTTTGAAACTCTAGATTAATCTTCAGTCCTCCAATTTTGGGATAGATTGGTAGTACACCCTTATAGGCAATTTTTTTTTTTTGAAATTTGGGTGCGTGTGATAATGTGTGAAGTCTCACGAAATTGTAGGATAAACAATTGATTGCAAAGGAAGAAATAACCCACTCCTGTTTAAAAGAATTAAATTACAACCGTCTCGATAAGGGTACATTTACTTGTGTTCTAATGGTTCACGTTAATTTCGTTTGTTATATCCATGTGCTGGTGATGAAGTGATGATATGATTGTGTTAAAATTCAAGAGGTTGCAATATGTGTGTGTGTGTGCAGCTTACGAGATTATACTATGTACATGGCGCATGGTAGATTATACATAGGGATTTGGTTTGAAAATGCCAACATAAGCATTATGATGTGTAGCTCAGTTGATTGATTTGTGATTCTTTAAGGTGGTAGACAATGTTCTTTTTTATTTAAATTCTTTACATTTAAATCAATTTGAGCAACTGTTTTTTAAAGCATTCTAGGGTTATTTTATTCATTATGCAAAACATCTTATTCAACAGATATTTGTTGTTTTATTTTGGCACTTCCTTGCTGAATTGGCAGCTTGGTGCATTCAAATTTTGTAGTTTTTGTTTCACTTTTAATATAGCTGTGATGGGAGATGTGCAGAGTAGACATGTTGATAAGGATCTTACAGCAGCTTTTGCATTATAAATTAGCAAGCTAAGTTTGGTTATTGATTTCATGTAACATTAAGTTGTACCATGATTTAAATTCCCTTGTAAATGATGGGATTCATACAATTAATGAACCTGGCTTCACATGCCATGGATCTAATCCAATCTTGACCGATAGAGAGGACAGAAACTACCATTGGATATAGCATTGTTCTGCAGAACAGCCTCTTGGACCCTCCATCAAATGCATTGTGATTGTGGAATAATTACTAACTAGAGTGTATGATATATGTAATATAATTTGATTTTATAGGTTCTTCCAGATGATATTCGG